ACAAAATGAGATTCTGCTTTACTGAATAATGGATGGTCATCGACGAATGAGCCAGAGTCAAAAACTATGGCAGGTTGAGGGAGCCCTAGGACAAGGTCCGGGAAAGTCAGGAGCTATTGGATGCTTGCTTTATTTTTCACAGTCCAGAATTGCTATGTGATATGACAGCATGAGAGAAAAGGAAACTGGGCCAGAGGATTACAGCACAGGGAGGATTTAGATTTAATAGGATTTTATTAGGCTCTAAGCAGAGGTTGTCTGAGGTAGTTTGACCCATACTGAATCCCCCTCTCCCCACTGCCATTACTTGTAATTGAGGGCAGAAGTTTCCTCTCTCTTTAGGTGTTCCCAATATTTGAAGAGTCTTCACCCCAGATGGAATTTTACATGATAAGCACATTTACAGTAATCGACTTTTTATGTATTTGGTAGCAGCCGATTCAGGGCATTCGAAAATGCATTCTAAAACAATGAGTTCTTCTACTGGCAAAAAACAAACAAACTGAATTATATTTGAGATGGTTGATTCCTGTGCTTTGGGTTCTTTCAGTGAAATATGCTTTAATTGTTAAAAAGAATACAGATCGAATCCATTTATAACTGGAATTCTTACAAAGAACTTTTGTACAGTGGCCATTATCCTTCTTCAAAGCTTATCTTCTTACCTCTCCCCACTTAGTATATCACTTGGAATAAAGTACAGAAAATCATGACTTTTGAGCTGGGGGAGACCTGAGAGATAATCATGTAGTCCTAACCCACCTAAGAGGTTCCAAATCAAGATCCCTGTTTTCCACTCAAGGTCTCACTGCTGGGTAGTCCTGGGGCTGTGTCCCAGTTCAGAGCTCAAGTCCCCAAGAGGCGACTTGACGTTTACTGACTTCCACACTTGGACAACTGAGCTAAAAGCTCTTAGCCCTCACCCTTTGTTCTCCACTTTAAATCCACCTAATCTCTCGAACCATTTCTACAAACCAACCAGAGAAATATGACGAGGGAAGAAGGAGAAATGGGAAGGGAGCCTGCCATGTCTTTTCATCAGGTTCAAGAGATTACTTCTCATCTGGCAACTCGCTGTGGAAAGGCTCCAAAAGACTCCACCTGGCTTCTTTTTCATCTCTAGGCTTCTCATGCTGTGTTACTGACCTTGCCTTTCCTCTGCTCTAATTGCTCTACTAAAATCCTTAAAAAAAAAGCCAAAACCAAAAACCAACAATAATCAATCAATCTATCTTCAAATTCTCTGTGTTCATTGGTTCCTTCCCATTAGACCTGCAAATATCACTTTTTCCTTAATAAAAATGTTCCCTTGGCTCTGTGTCCCCTTAAGGTGACCATTATTTCTTTTAAATGGTCTTTTCTTTTAAAAGTTTAAAGAACTTTTTATAATCCATTATTAGAGGATATTATATTTAAATAGATAAAAGAAAGATGGTATGAGATCATATATTGTTAAATGCCAAAATGTTTACACTGTAATTTCAGTATGCTAGTGAAAGAGGGGTATATTAAAATATAGTTATTTGTAGTTCAGGGGAAAAATGTGATTTTCACACACTTATAGCTTTCCTAAGTATTGTAGTTTTCAAAGGAGGCTGAATTATGTAAAGATGTCTATTTGGAAATGAGGTTGAAGGAATTTTTATGGTAGAAAGGGTATAATCTAGATGACTAAAATCTAACCTTTTATGATTTTATAGTATATTTTATAACCCTGTGATATGGAAGCATATGCATGTGCTTTTTTTCATAGTCAAAAGATATCATGTACTTTCTTAAAAAAGGCAAATAAGAATACCTACAATTCTTATGTCAGTTATCTCTATCTCCAATGATGATTTAATAACATTTTTCTTTCCTTACTGATGAAAATATTTTTGTATATATTATTAATGAAATATATAAATTTGACTACTCAATAGTTCTGTCTTTGAGGTATAAAATCTGTGCCGGTGTATACATGTGTTTTGATAGCTCCTCCCCCTGCCATGCCAAAAAAAATACCCGTCAGCAACCACACCACAAAACCATAGGCAACCACTGTTGGACAGAGTCCTTTGGGTATTTTTCAGGATTGGCGGTTCATTTGAAGAAAACAAAATCCCTCCGAATGGTTTACAGAGCTCTTTCCCGGGCATGAAATTCAAGTTGGTGTGCATGTGGTGGGTATTTCTGGGAAGAACGGGCTGAGTATGTGGCAGGAGTGTTCCTCTGAGCAGTCCCCACCCCCAGGTACCATAGGCTGAAGAGAGCAGAGGGCAAGAAGGGGGAAATGTCCATCATGCCGTACTCATGATGCAAGCCCGTGTTCTGGTGACAGCAGCCTCTTCTACTTGCTCCTGGCTTTTTGCTAAGTTTTGTCCTGCTCTGTGCTTCACTAGAGACTTTAACTGTGCTCTGAGAGTTAAATAAAAAGCTTGGAGTGGAAAAATGCAAAAAGGAAGAAAGTAAAGCCTGACAACAGGCGAATGCAGAAATGTATTAGAAACCCCGGCGCTTGAGGAAAGGCGCCTTTCTATTGTCTCTCATCAATATGGAGCCCTCTCTTTCTTGTAGTTTTATATTGCCCTGGAGACATGCTAGTGCTCGAATACTCTAACAGGGGAATAAGAGAGAAAGAGAGTGGAAATATCCGGCGCTTTTGTCTCTGGGTATATTCGGAAGTATTTTCATTTATAGAATCTTCTGGCATAGTGTTTCCTTCTTAAATGTGGCTTGCTTGACTTACCACATTCTTCAGGCATCTGTTTCAGGAGTATGATTGGGTAAAGCGTCATCCAAGTGAGATGCACTTTTCTCAGAGAAGATACAGCTTCCTTAAGGGAATAGGGCCAGGGATCATAGCCAGGAGAAAGAATAAAGATTTCTAGAAGGAACCCTCGACTGGGAATCAGGAGACATTCCATTTCCATCAAAACTAACTGGTAGTTTGTGATTTTAGCTAAGCTATTTATCTTGTCTGTAATAAAGTCTCGCTCTCTGCAAGGATTGCATGCAAAGTCCCTTTGAGAATGGGCTTCACAGACCTTAGAGAGCACGTTTCTACTTTTGATTTAGAAGCAGTTGGCATGTTGAATGTTCCCCTCATATGTTTCAAGATGAATCTGAGAATCCTGGAGCTGGAAGGAGCCTTGAAGAGTCTTATCCTTTTTGAACCTCTGGGATAAACCAAAACACTCTGATTTTCCTCATTATTATCATTGTATCCTCTGAATAAAAGCATTTTCACAGAAATACTATGTTTTAGACAGTGAGGGAGTTGAAGTAGAATTTGTTTTATTTATTATCACTTAAAACAGGGTTGCCTGCTGAAATGTTACCTTCAAAGACCAGCCTGTGTGAGGTGAAGGGGCTGGCTGTAGGATCCTAGGGAGGTGCCAGGACCTCAGAGATGGGGAGCACGTACCCTGGGTGTGTGGGGAGGCCACTTCTGGGTTTTAAAATACCGATGGGCCCAGTAAAACATGCCTCTCAGTGACAAAGAGCCATTGTTGGCAGTGGACAGTGTCCTATTGAGAACAATAAATTTGGATTATTAGGAATTACATGTCAGGGAATTCACCAATTTGAATAATAATATATAGTCATAGAAGATACACATTAGCTGTTTTCCTCAGGTATGTGATTTGTGTGAGCCTTCTTCAAACAGACTTTCCTCTTTCGACATACTTTAATCCTCTTCCATTCTCCCTAAAAAATGTTTCCTTTCCTCAGAATGATCAGTTCTAGCCAGTTTTCTATTCTTATGTTCTACCATTTCTTTCAAGAGATGAATGTTGAATGGTTAGCCTCCCATCCCCAAGAAAATATGCCTTAACAACTTTCTAGTGTTTAATTTCACTCCCTACAAAGAACTTGACCAAGAAATCTAACCTAAATCCTCACCTTCAACCCCCTTTCTCACATTTTATTGTTTGTAGGAGGAGCAGTTGACTGGTGTTCTCCTCATAATACCCTTCATATTACTCGGGTGAAAATTGCTGGTTTTTTTTTTTTGTTGTTCGTTTGTTTTTGTTTTTTGTTTTTGTACTACAAGTCTGGAAATTTTATCATGGATTTTGTTTTCCAATGCACTAATAATTATCATGTGATCACTGTACCTCAAACTCTCTCCAGTCTGTACACTCAAAAAAATAGTTTTTTGAACCAGACCCCATCCTTTCTGTGAGCTGACCAAACTGGGGAGATACTGGGCCTATATTGCTGCTTCTCTCTGTGAGTTAGCTCCATGCAGCTGGATCCTATTTGCTGTAAGCTCTGTGACCTCAATATCTTTTTGCTCCCTCCTGGCTCTCTGGTAGTCGGACTCTCTTCATATTTTATCCACATAATTCATTTTCCATTTGTAAGTGTGCTACCTTGTACTCTCACTGAGGAAGCACTATCTTGTTTTTTGATGGATCATTTCTATCTCTGATTTGTCAAGGTTACTTGGAATTCTATTATATTTTGGAAAAGCCAGAAACCTTAACTTGGTTTGTAGCTATGAAATGACTGAGAATGTTTTCGATTCCATGATGACAGCCATTGATTTAAAAAAAAAAAATTCAATCATATTGGACCCAGGAGTCTGGGTGCTGTTTTAGAACTACCCCAAGTTGCATTATGGCATTTATTTCTGTCACTATTAACTAATGGCTTTCCTATTTCTGGATGTTTTTAAATTCCACAGACATTGGTATCATAGTTTCTTGCTTCGTTATAGAAACTAGATTTGAACCATTAGACTTACTGTCTAGAGGGTTTGGTTGGTGGTAGTGAAGAAAATAAACCCAATAATTGTTTAATTTATGTGTGTAGCTTTGGTAGCATCATTTTTTAAAAAATATTTTTAGTAGCAAGGTAAGAGTAAATAAGAATGGGTAGAAATGTCTATTTTGTAGATATTTTTGTACTGTGTTAGACTTTGAGAATGTCTATGTTCTGATTTAAATTTAATGGCCAGTGTCCTATTTAATATATGAACATAACGAGATGCATTTTTGTTACTGTCATTACAGGTTTCAGAAGATGACAGTGAAATGTGAAGAAGTTACGTTTCTTATGTGATACTTGAAAGTTAGTGACTGCTTGCCAAGTTTTCCTGAAAGTTAAATATGACTTAGAAGCACTGATTTATGAAGGCTTATGATGTCATCAGTTACGACGGAAAACAAACTCCAGCAGGCCGTGAGCCTGCAGGGAGTAGACCCAGAAACATGCATGATTGTATTTAAAAACCACTGGGCACAGGTAATGTATGAACCGCCCTTCCTCTGCCGGTCTAGGTAGCCCGTGAGTCCTCTGTCCCATGAACCAGGGCTTTCCTACCTCTGTGATGGGTGACTGGGCTTCCAGAAACATAGAGAGCAAAACCTTTGCAGGTAGGAAGAAAAGCAACTCTCTCTCTTTCTTTCTTCCCTTCTTCCTTCCATCCTCCCTCCTTCCATCCTCCCTCCCTCCCTCCTCCGTTTCCTTCCTTCCTTCCTTCCTCTCTCTCTCTCTCTCCTCCCCCCTTTCCTTTCTTCAGTAGGGATCCAGTTGAAAACCATGGTTTCCATAAAAGCAGTTAGGGAACATGTATATTCCTCAGATATTTTTGGAAGAACAGTCATTGACCTGAAAGGAGCTTGGACATCATGTTGCAATAGACTTGACCAGGATTAGACCCTCTTTCCCTCCTCCCTGGTGATTTCCACCTAGTCCTTACACTGTAACAGTGCTAAAATACATATTTATTAAATATTTACCAAGTGTTGTGCTGAGTACTTCAAAGCCTTATGTCATTTACTCTTCTCCACAAACCCATAAGGCCGTTAGTGTCAGCTTCCTCATTTTACAGATGAGGGAATGGAGGATTAGAGAGGTGGAGTTAACTCTCTTGAGGTTATACAGATAGTGAGTTTCCAAGCAAGTACATAGTGGATCTTGGTCCCTTGGCTGATGTATTTGACCTTTGTGCTCTACCACTTTTCTGGCTGGTAGTCCCTGCATAATTTAAGGAAAGAAGATGCCTGGCGGTATCTGTATTTACTACAAAGCTGATTATAAAAGTTTTTTTGATTATTCAGTTTGACTTCTCTATAACTCTGATCTGCTTGTATAGATAATTATGGGTTCAATGTTCAGAAAATTTATCAGCTCACCACTTTCCTCAGGGAGTTTACAAGTAGTAAAATAAATAAAATTGGTCTTCTTTACTACTTGTCCAACATTACACTCCCTAGGGGAGCTGGTAAGTGGCTATTTATGTGACAGTTTTTTAATGACTACCCAGTTCCTTCCTGTGGCCGCAAACAGCAGAGGGGTTAAAGCACTGAGCCTGCAAATCACAGCAATTATGGGGGACACAATTTAGATCAAAAACAAAATCAATTCTGCTTCTGGGTCACTTTAACTTTGTAGCTTCTTGTCACTAGAGTAAAGCTTCCAAGACTTTTTATGCATTTCCCATTTTCTGACATTTTGCTATTAGAATCTTAATGGGTCTGCTCTGGATTTTAAGGACACATTTGCTTCAGTAAAGGGAGGAAAGTAATTCAGGAGTTTTCTAGATAATTAGAGCAATTATCTTTGACTTTGCACTTTTATAAGTTTTTTAATGTGCTGGTTCCAAAGTGGGGTTGTGAACCCTAAGGGATGTGCCCGTTAGTCCATTGGGTATAGGAAGAGTATTTTAGAAGGCCTGTTTTTGTCTTTATCTTTTGAAAATTTCTATTTTGGGTTTATTAAGTATGTAATATAGTCACATATTAGTATGTGTACATTTATTAATGTATCTAATAATTATTTGTGCTCATTTCTTTTTAAGTGGTAGGAATGCGCAGTTAGACATTTAATATTGAGAATACTTTCAGCCTCAGTCATTTCATTTGGCTGAAAAAGTCCATCATTCTAATTTGCATTCTTGGCTCTGGGCCCATTTTATTTATTTGTGTAAAAATACTTTTGTTGTAAGCATTCCTGGTGGGGAATCGGTGATGTGATCCATTTAGTATTCTGCACCAGTCTTCAAAGACAGGAAATATCATTGACCTCTTGATTTTATGCAGATGGATCATTTGCCCTGTCAGTTTCCACCTTGGGCAAGCTTTCTCCAAAGCTGCTGGAGTGTTGGAGAGTCTTACTTCAGGAATGTACCTTTTCCCACTGGTGAAGGAGTAAATATTGGTCCCATAATCAGATTACTCGTTTCCATATCTGTTATGAATGACTTCAGCATCATCCAACATTTTGGGTGATCTGAAGCATGGCACCCTTTGTGGAGTACAGGAAAATACTGAGTTCAGGGTAAGGATAACTTTGTCAGAGGGAATAGTGTCCAGTTATTAAATACTTCTTTTCATAAAGTGGGGACACTCTTGGTCTTATTCCTCTTTCATTCATTTCTTTAACTTGCTTACCTCTTTAGACTTGGTTTTTCCTTTTAAATAAATCTGCAAAGTTCCCGAAGTCTCTGTCTGCTTCCAAGAAAGGCTCTTTTGGTTACCTTTATGAATAAAAATACTAGTTCAAGTAGCCCCAGCTATGGGTTCATCATTGTAGGCTGCACCAGTGGGACATGGGGATGTGTCAGCCTTGGTCTGAGCTTTTAAAGAATGTATGTGCTAATTTGGATGACGAGGCCAGATACATTATTAGAAAATGAATAATAGTGATTATGGGAATTAAGTCAAAGGAAGGGACTATTATGTGTGAAAATGGCTTGGGAAATGGAGGAAGTGAGATTTGGCTAGCTTGACTATAGGAAAGGAAGGTTTTGATAACAAAGGAATAGAATATTTTAGCGAAGAGGTATTGGGAAGGAATGCTCAGTGTTGGCTTTTTCTGGTGGTAAAAATAGAAAGGTGAAGACAAGGCAAAGTGGAGAGGCAGGGCTACATGTGGGGTAAGGCCCGGGACCTTCAGTTGATAGGAATAAGTGATACTCACTGATCTGGAGGTTTATACATTAGTACTTGGCTGGGAGTCATTCAGGCTGGGGACGCATGTAGAATGGTGGAGAGGATTGGGGGAAAAATGAGTTAAAGTCTGACAGAAAATCCTGTGACTTGTGGGACGATAGCCCCTGGGTTCTCCTGAGGCAACCTAAGGAAGCCTGTAAGGCTGGCAAGAAATGTGGCCTAGTCAGAACTGGGTGACTGCATCGTATTTACTGAAGTGTCCTGTTAGCTAGCAAGCACAGTGTTATTATTCATTTTTTTTTTTAATATGGTAAATTAGGGAAAATGAAGTCAACAGAAGTCTGTGGTATCCGGAGTTCTTCTGTTTGTTAGTATACTTAAGTACAAATTCAGCTTAATTAACATATATTTGACAGGTTCTTTTCCGCTGTTTACTAGTAGCTTCTGTTCCAGACCTTGACTTAACAAAGCAAACTTTGATGGAGGAGGATATCTGCTTGCCCACCTACACCTTGCTGTCTGTCAGAGACAGCTTGTTCTGCAACCTCCATCATCTAAGGCAGTCTGGGATTCTGGAGGCTCGCAGGTGTAGAGGCCTTGAACTAGTCGAGCGCTTGAGTTTCCCAAGGGCTCCCTGGATTCAGGGAGCTCATGACATCCCCAGAAGGGTTCTCTAGTGGACATTCAGGAATAGTTATGTTCCTAACAGTGACTCCGGAGAATCAAGGCTACAGGAATCCTACAGCCTGGTTGCTGGCCTGTGCTTCCTGTTGCTTTCTGAGATGCCATCTTGCGCTGGAAAGTTGCCAGAACAGTGAATCGAAAATCCGAATCTGCCTGTATCTTGTTTCCAGTTGGACACTTTATTGGCCTCTGGGCACCTACAGGCCAGGATGTCACATAGGGTCTTGATTTTACTCCTTGTCTCTGATCTAATCTTCAGAAATGCAACGTTACTTGGAGTTCCTAGCCACCCCCACTCCTAGGCAGTGCCTGGCACGCTAGCTCAGGCTCCTCTGCCTTAGGCATTTCCTCCTCTTCCTGCCTATAATATCCCTCTCCCTGGCTCAATGCCTCATTTTCTTAAGGACTCATTTGGGACATCATTTCTTCTAGGAAACCTTCTGTGTTCTCTTCTATGTTTCCACTCTGGGCTCCAACAACATCCCGAGTGTTTTTTCGCTGTCAGACCAAGCACGTTTTATTAAAATTACATGTACAGTAGCTTCTTCCTAATCTCATTTTGAGCTCCTCATGATCAGAGACCATTTGTAGCTTCCCTACATCTCTAGCGTCAAGAATATCGTAAGCTTATTGTAGATGTTCAATAAATCACCAAGAATATTGTAGGTCTATTGTAGATGTTCAATAAATTGTTGAACCAAGAGACAGGAAATATGAAGTACAACTTTAGAAGAGCTAGGTGACTTAGAAAACACCTTTGAACATGCATTCATATTAAAATATTCTGTAGTTTTCTAGTAGGATCTTTGGACTGGCTTTTAAAAAAAAAAGATTTTATTTATTTATTTGACAGAGAGAGAGAGAGAGCACAGTTAAGGGGAGCAGACTCCCCGCTGAGCAGGGAGCCCCATGTGGGGCTCGATCCCAGGACTGCGGAATCATGACCTGAGCCAAAGGCAGACGCTTAAGGGACTGAGCCACCCAGGCACTCCTGGACTTACATTTAATGATGAGCAATTTGGGGGAGTGAATGGATATTTAATTTTTCTAGTAGTCTCTAAGAACAGTTTATAGTCTAGTAGACTACTGTTTTTATCTCTTGCTTTTGCTTCTTTGCTTCTTCTGAATGGAAGAGCAAACAAGAAGTAAGAAGCATTGGCCCAGCAGATGATAAACTATTCAACTATATTTCCATGTAAATTAACCTGCCCCCACACTAGTTTTTTCCACAATGGCAGAGTTGTACTTTGTGAAGCTTCTTGCATTTTGCTCTATTCATTCTCTGTCCTCTCCTTTTAAGAATTGAATCACTATTGGTTATATACTTAGTGGTATCTATTCTTAGAGCCAAGAAAACAGAGGTGATGGGTTAAAAATAAAATAAATTGGGGGACACCAGGTGGCTCAATCAGTTAAGCATCCGACTCTTGATTTTGGCTCAGGTCATGATCTCAGGGTCCTGGAATCGAGCCCCTCCTTGAGCTCCATGCTCAAGTCAAATAAAAATAAACAAATATTAAACAAAACAAAACAAGTGGAAATGCACATTTCTATGTGCTTCTGGTTGGTCAGTAACCAAAAGCTTCTCCTCACCATCCTCAGCCTCCAAAAGTAAGTGGTTATACAGTTTTAAACCAAGAAAAGGTCAGAGCTCAAATAGAGTAA